CCCCCCCCCGCGAGCCGCACCGTGCAATGGGAAGGGGTTTTTAAAGCTGGGCTTTAGTAGGCTTTTAGTCCTGTTAAAAGCTACTGAACCCTACCAAGCACCGGGGGGGTGAGAGCTGGGGGTGTTACGGATGCAGCGCCCACCCCTCCGATCCCTGTGTTGGAACTCACATTAAAGATCAGGGCCACATGTCCATCATCAAACCCGGGGAGATCAGGGTGGATGTGCTGTGGTTATTTCCAAGGTAAAACAACAGGAGGGTTTAAAAGGGGGTTGGAGGGGGAGGGGAGGAAGAGGGAGGGTTGGAGAAAAATAAAAATAATAAAAAAAATAACTTTCAAGTCATTTTTGGAAAAGAAGCAGGAGGAAAACAAAAGAAACCACCCGAAAACAAATCCAGAAAGGAGAGATGTGTTTGTTGGCATTTTTTTTCCCTAAAACCTTATTCCAACTGCCTGGTAAAGGATCTTCACCCATGCTCTGAGCAAATGCTGTACTTAAGAACTGGCAGCCCTTGCTTTGGCTTCACTACCTTACCCTGTGGCCGGGAGGAATTTACCTTCAGAGCATCCAGCCAGGGCTGGTACCTGTTCCTCTGCTTGAGGACACACATTCACATCTCAAAAAACCCTGTTCCTACCCGTTTTCTGAACAATAAGGGGCAAGGGTGTTACGCTGCTCCCTGTCCCTGCTGGGGTGTTTTTCACCCAGAGCAGGGAGATTTCACCTGAGGGATGGTCCAGCGGCAAAACCCCGTAAGCTCCAAGAGCACCACAGTGGAGGTCAAACGCTTGAGGTTCTGCATCCTCCCACTTCCAAAAAATCAAGCCTTGTAAAAACAAATCTGTGAGACTGCAGATGTCTAAGGCAAAGGCTGCCTGATCCCTCGCCTGCACCTGGAGCAGAGGTTGGGAACCCCTGGGAAGGATGAGCTGGTTTGAGGGGAAATGGCTTGAAGTAGGACACAGGGGTTTGCTTCCCCATCAGGAGGGCGGTTTACCTTAATTGCATCATTTGCTCTTTACTTCTCCCCCCCCACTTTCTGTTACTGTCTCTTCTTCAGAGCTAAATCCTCAGCAAGAGCAACAGGGGCTGATGTAAACCTTGGGTACATGGCAGAGCTCTCCCTGCTCCTGCTGCAGGGTGTGGGAATGGCCAGGCCTTGCAGGTGGATGCTACGCTAAAACCACCCAGAATTGCTTCCTGAGATAAAAATGATAGTTTTTTTGTCTGGCTGGTTTTTTTCTCCCCACATCTGTTCTTCCTTAAATCCTCCTGCAGCTGCTCCCTGGGCACCCTACCTTGCTGCCCTACTCATAAAAAAATTTTGAGATTTATTTATTTATTTATTTATTTCAGGGGTGGGAGGTATAGATGGGTTTGAAGGGGCAGTTTGAGTTGAGGAAGCCTATATTGTCAAAATCATCACCCAAGGATGCTGCCAGGTGTGGCAGTGGGCATGGTTGCTGATTGTGGCCATTGCCCTCCACCCCCAGCCCTGGGATTCTCCGGCTTTCATCCTGGCTGCTCTCCTCCCCAACCCTGACACCCCTAAAGAGCAGCTCCTGCTCCTCAGAAGCATCCACAGCACTTGGGCGCCCCTTGAGCATCACGCAGTGGTGGTGACCCCTGCACAAGCTAGGATGTCTCCACCAACAGAGACAGCAGCATTGATGATCTTCATCTCCTCAAGATGTCTGTGGGACAAAAAAGTCTTGGGGTACCTGTCCCACCACCCCCCCTTCCCACCTTACCTGGTCCTTCTTTGGGGAGAAGCGCGGGTGGCAGCAGCCGTAGATGGCTGCGATGAGCAGCAGGGAGCCGGCCAGGGTGACGATGGTGATGATCAGGGGTGTGCTGAACTCGTCGGTGATCACCATCTCCCTCTCCATTTTGTCGTAGGTGATGTTGGCGATGCCGAGCTGCCGCAGAAGGGATGGGTCAGGCCCCCAGGAGATCTCCCTGTGCCACCCACCCCGGAGGACATCCACGGGGACCCACGTACCTCCTCTAACTTGTCCTTCTTTTCCTTCAGCTCCTCAAGGACTTGTTCAGGGTCCAGAGGGACTGGGGGAAGAAAGAGGCTGCGATGAGCACAAGGACGGGAGGAAGGCAGGTTGTGCCACCTCCTGGCAGACGGTGGCTGCGATGAGCACAAGGACGGGGGGAAGGCAGGTTGTGCCGCCTCGTGGTCAACGGGGTGACGGCTCCTTTTCTGGAGGAGGTGGATGGAGATATGTGGGTATGGAACCAACCCTTGCAGGTGCCTCCACAGCCAGACAAGGAGGTGGCAATTTTTCTCCTGGAATGGGGACAGCCCCAGAGACCCCAGTCCCCACCACCTCTGGGGGCTCTGCTTCAGTGGGTGATTTACAAGTGAGGCCACTGAAGGGCTACTCCAGGTCATGCTGGAGCGATGCAGGATTAGTCCCCAGGGTCAGTCTGTGCTGCCCATGGAGGTTGGACCTACACCCAGCCCCTGCCCTGATGAGGAGGAGGAGGTCGGACCTTAGTCCTTCCTCCTACTCGTGCTAGGGCAGCGTGCTGTCTCTATCAGAGGCAAGAAACTCCCCTCTGTGGTTCCTTGGAGAAGGCTTTGAACTGGACACTGGATTTTAAGCACTTGGGAGGAGTGTTTTCCTTCTGGAATGCTGGTCCCTGCCTTGGCTCATTGTGGATCAGAGAGGGATCTGGAGCAGAGCTCACTTCTGGGGTCCTTCTGCCCCTCACAAGCTACCGAGATGAGACAGCCCAAGGAAAGGAGCCCCTTGGCCAATCTTTAGCAGACCCAAACGCCCTGCTCAGCCTCAGGCTTCATCCCCCTGCCAGGGTCCCCAGTGCCGGTCCCATCTTGCCCCTGTTGGGGCAGGACGGTAGGGTAGGATCATACTCACAGTGCACAACTGCCCTCACAGCCCAGACCTGGGAGCGGTGCTCGTGGGAGGTCAGGGTCACCGTGCACGCTTCTCTGCTGGCGTTGAAAGCGCGCTGGCTTGTCGAGCAGAAGCTCTCGAAGAAGGAGTTTTGGGCACTGGTGGCATTCCACTCAGCCTGCAGGGACAGCAAAGGCTCAGCATCGTCCCCTCCTCCCAGGGACTGCTGAGGAACATCCCCCAGCCCCAACCCCACCGTCACCAGGGATCACAGAATCACAGAACGTTAGGGGTTGGAAAGGACCTTGAAGGATCATCCAGTCCAACCTCCCTGCCAGGGCAGGATCACCTAGGGCAGCCACACAGGAATGCATCCAGGGGGTTTTGGATGTCTCCCTTAGCTTTTCCTCATAAGGGAGATGTTCCATCCCTCCATCATCCCTGTGGCTGCGCTGGACTCTCTCCAGCAGTTCCCTGTCTCTCTGGAGCTGAGGGGCCCAGAACTGGACACAAGATTCCAGATGTGGCCTCACCAGGGCAGAGCAGAGGGGCAGGAGAACCTCTCTCAACCTACCAGCTACTCCCCTTCTAACCCACCCCAGGAAGCCATTGGCCTTCTTGGCCACGAGGGCACTGCTGGCTCATGGGCATCCGGCTGCCCACCAGCACCCCCAGGGCCATTTCCCCTGAGCTGCTGGAGCTGCGTTGCCCTCCGTCATCCCCTCAGCCCTTCGCAACCCCCAGCCACCGCCGGCCCTCCCAGGGAACAGGAAAAGTTTAAGAGTAGTTGCTTTATGAGAAGCTGAGCTCTTGGCCCTGCGCCGGCCTTATCTGAGAGCTGCAGCTTTTGGTGTTACAGGAATAGCAGGTCCCCAAGGGAAGTGGGGCCGGGGGGGCTGAGGGGCCACAGAAGGAGCAGGACGGGGTCGTGCACCCCTCCCCTGTGCCCCCACGGCCATCTGCAGCCCTCTCACAACCCACATTTCTACCCTCTGTCCCCACTGACGTGGGTCCTTGTCCTCCCTAGGGCTTTCCCCACGGCTCTGTGGCTCTGCAGAGGCAAGAGAAAGCATTTTGCTTTCGGATAAACTGGAGCATCCCTGGAGGAGTTAGCCAGGACAGCACTGGAGGGGTGGTGGATGGAGCCCATGTTCCCTCTGAGATGTTCCATTCGATGATGCTTCGTAACAGCTGGGAGCTCACTTAGGTAGAGACAACCGCTCTGCTCCAAAACCTCAAACCTTCCCCTCTGAAACGACATCCCGCTCCCTCTTTGTGAGGATGGGAGCCGCCCGGCTGAGGAAAGCACCTAATCTCACCCCATCTTATCTAAATATTTGGGAAGCAGCAGTGGAGACAGGATGCACTTGCCGGGGGAGGAAGAGCAAGGCCGGGCACAACGCGAGGGTGAGTTCAGCATCGTGAGGCCCCGGCCGTCCCTGGGGACCGGAGCTGGCTCTTGCCTGTCCTTTCACTTTGCACAGGGAAAATAATTCCCCCAAGGTCCCTCGGTTGAATCCGCATCATTCCGGGGCAGCCCATGGGCAGGGAGGTGAGACCTTGGCACGGCAGCGTCCCCCAGAAAGCTCGTCCCCAGACAGAGAGGAGAGAGTTACAGCTTGGGCAGTGTTTTTATCATTTTCGGACGCTGGGTTGTGCTCCTACGCTTTAAATGTCCTGCGTTT